CCCCAAAACCCCAAAACCCCAAAACCCCAAAACCCCACTCTAAGGTTTCAATATTGATGCTTCAAAATCCTCAGTTTATGAGAGATAATGAGAAGTTTAAACAACATCAATAATGCAGCAACTTTAAGCACTAGGAGATTAATAATCCCTTCTTGTTGATGCTCATGCCTTGGTTTAGACAAAAAGGATCATGAAGAAGCTACACCTAATAATCTCAAAATTTTGGACAGCACTCGTATGTAAAACTCCATTATACTGAAAATGTAAGAGATCGACCGGATTTTGAGGTGGATTGCCCAACAAGTAAATACTCAAAGATGTGCTCCAAATAACAATACAGCCTGGACCAAGTGCCCCTTTGAAGCAGTTTATTACAACTCTGAGTGAAATATAATATATTTGAGATTCCTTGATAAGATTCATGAATCAAAATAATTTTATGGTGAAAATCTGGCTGGAATTGACCGATCTTTTAAAATGACGTATTTTTAATTCATAAAAACTTTATTCAAAAAGTTGTGTGAACTTCATCCAACCCTCTTCTTATGGGCTAAAGTTAGGAAGAGGTTTATCCCTGACGGCTCTGTGATATGACCCAATACTAGTGACAGCGCAAGGATTAAAATCTATAAGTTTATAAATGAGATTTAAGAAAAGAATGAATTTCATAATCTGAGTACAATCTTTGTGTTGATCAGAAATGAAGATTTCTTAGAATGAAATCTCCTCTTTAAGTGACCTTAGTTATGAGAGTGGTACAATCATTATGACTAATTTATTTGTATATTTTATCAATATCGATTGGTAAAGAATTGTGTATAGTTTATTCAAATGAGATAGGAGTTTTTATACCAATACTGGCTTCATTATTTCAGCTCTAGATGTCCGAGTCTCATGACAGGAAGAAAATTTTTAAAAGTTTGTGTCTTACAATTAAATATTTTGAAGTACATTATCTATCCCTAATTATCACCCTATATTCTGTCTAAAACTAATTGATTTTACTTTAGTCCCATTAGAGATAAGATAGCTTTAGTAAACATCAGGGCCTTTTATCATCAAATCAAATGATGATTCATTCCCACAATGAAACCCTAAAATCCCACTCCTAAACTTCCAACCCCCAACCCTCCATCCCTCAAACTTTCCTTCCTGTCCAAGTCTCCCTGGACTAAGCCCTGCCCTCCTCCCACACCCACCTCTTCCCCAACTTTTCCCTCAAAACCCAAAAATCTCCTTTGTCTCACCTAAATCCCCCTTCCCATCCAAAACCCCACCACTCCTCCAAACCCTGAACACACACCCCTAGTTCTTTGAGAAGGTTGGGAGTTTTTGGGTTTGGATAGGTGTTTTTGGGATTTTCAGAATTAGACCAGATTTTTGGCAATTTGCGGTAAATGTACATTAAGAGTTATAAGAGTTGTGAAATTTTACTTCTGTGAAACTTTCTCCAGATCTTCAGAAGTAAAAATGAACATTAAGAAAGACAGAGACACCAAGTGGAGTACAAATTGCAAGGAGATCAATTCTCCAATTTTTATATCTGCTCTATTGATAGTCGTAAGTGAAGGATCTAACATTAATAAGAAATAATAAAATTTTCTGAGACAAGACTGACGGTGACCCTCCAGAGTAGATCTAGAACTTAAGCGCATCAAATATGCTTCAAATATTCTTATCATTCTTAATCTTAACTCCCTCATTAGTCTCAAACCTTTCTGCTAAGAATGTCTCGTTTGCCTTCCAGTTGAAGTTCTATTTGACCCTGAAAATTTCTGTGATTGTATATAAAGAAAGGCAGAAAGTTATAATTAATAAATCTAACTAAACTAAAAGATCAAATGTTTACTGATAACTTCAATATTTTTGGAAAGAGTTATCTTGAAGAAGACGCAGACTTGAAAGGAGTCTTCTTGGACCAAACTCCCTTCGAAAAATGCCCCTCATTCAGAGATTTCGAAATTGAGGAGGTCTTCAACAGGAATTTCGAAGATGGAAATAGAAATGAAGTATACCAAATCAATTCAACCCCATACTATGATGATTTCGTGCTAGACTTCCCAACACTAAACAGCACTAATGGATTTAACAAGAGTTGTTCTATTGGATATATTGCCAAGCTTAAACCTGATGACGATGCCCTTATCGAGTCTACATCTGTATTGGCCGAGTTTGGAGAAGATTCTGAAAATAAAGATCAACCTCAATCTACTACTCTAGAGAAGGAGGGGAAGGAAGAGATTAAGAAAAAGCGTAAAAGCAAAAAGACCCCCAATGCTCCAAAGGATATATCTAACAGAGAACGGTTCTGAAAGGAACATGACAGAGAAATGTTCGTCAAGCTAAATAATCTCTGAGACCAATCTGGCATTGAAATCAGTGGATTTTGGACAAATAAGACACTGGATAATACATATCAAAGTGTTCTAGAGACTCTTGCAGAGCAAATAAACTGGGATTACTATAAAATCAGGAATTTGTTGACAAGAATCAGGAAGTTAGGCAAGAACTCTACTAAATTCTCTGCTAGAGATGTTAAGCTTCTCAGAAAACTTATCAACCAACAAAAGAGGAACAACTACATTGATTACTCTGCTGTTGTGTATTATTTCCCTGGGAAATCTATCAAAACTCTTGAGGCGAAATACAATGAGAAGTACAGTCATCACAAGGCTGATATCATGTTCTAAAATATGGTAAATTCTCCAGCCTAAAGCAGATATTCCAAGGATTGGCTAATTCTGTAGCAAAGCTCACTTATCAAATATTTAATTTAAAAGTATCAATTATGCTAAACCGTCCAGGGGTTTTGGGGTTTTGGGGTTTTGGGGTTTTGGG